GGATGAAGACGATGAAGGACAGTCTCAGGGTGTTTCCAACAAACGTCTGCAGACTGTTGAGCTCCTGCAGCTGACCTGGAGACTGTGAACAGAGACAGAGTCGACACGTCAGGACTGCACTGCACTGCCACCACCTTCTCCACAGTCATTCTGTCTGTATACCTGAAACAGCGCCACCATTGGCTGTGTGGTGTTAGTCATCCCACTGCCTGGGTCTGCAGTCTGGTCTCCTGTGGTGAAACCTGAGGACCACGTGGACAAAACAGGGTCATTATTTAAAAAAACAAAAACAAAACTGTGGAGTGATGAGAACCTCACACACCTGCTGGGGTTCCTGTTCCCTCGGTTCTGGTTCCGGTGTCTGCTGAGTTCAGGTCCTCACTGTCCTTGGAGTCCACGTTGTGAGCTGTAGGAAAATGATGCAGATGAAGGACCTGCAGGCGGAGGGATGGCGGTTCTGCTAACACGCTAACACGCTAACACGCTAACACGCTAACGTACCAGGGATTATGATGAGGTGGACGCTGCTGGACTTGTCGTTGAAGAGTCCGGGGACCTGGACTCTACAGTGATAGAACCCAGAGTCTGAGGGCCGAGAGGACAGGACGGACAGAGACAAGGACGGAGACATGGAGAACCTACGGAGGACCAGAGTTCAGGGTCAGGTTCTGAAGACTTCCACGTGTCCATGTCCAGGTGTACCTGGACCTCTCACCTGTAAGACCTCCTGTAGGTCACCTGGTCGCCCTTCGTGTTGATGACAGCATTGTGACAGTTGAAGAGCGACGGTTGGCCACGCCCCCAGCACACCTCCACCCCTTTCTGTGGCTCTACGTCCAAACGACAGGGCAGCATCACCCTCCGTCCGGCCACTCCCACCACCGTCTCCGTGGTGACGGCGGACACTGGAACAGGTCATGTAAATGAACCAGAGTATGGGCCGCACGCTGATCAGTTGACGTGGACCAGAACCGGTCGGTGTGGCCCAACAGGGCCATAACAACATGAGCTGTATCCTAAGTTCTACATGTGGGCCGGACCAGTGTCTTCTTCACTTTTCTGGACCGGACGTTGGTCAGGGAAGTTAGTCTGGACCAACTAGGTCTGGCCTAAAGAACACAGCCCACTGTCCACAAACTGGACCATCACAGTCCACTACTACTGACACCAGGTGTAAAGCTCTGTGACCTCTGTGACCTCTGTGACCTCTGTGACCAAAGGTCTGAGGTATGAATACCAGGAGCGTCATCATGGACAAATAAACCCAAATGTCAGGAGAGCCAATCAAAAAGAAGGAGGAATGAACTCACCTGTGAGGAGGACACGGAGGGAGGAGAGGGTGAGGAGGAGCAGAGACCACATGCTGCTGGAGTCCCTCCTGCAGGTGGACAAAGACGGACTGGACAGAGACGGACTGGACAAAGACGGACTGGACAAAGACAGTCTGGACAAAGACAGTCTGGACAAAGACGGTCTGGACAAAGACAGAGAACTCACTCCTGTCACTTCCTTCTGTTTTTCTTTAGGATATTTTTAGAATTTGGGGAAACTGGCCTCAAGTCTGTGACGACTCAGCTGTCTCTCTGTGCAGGCAAAGGGTACAGTGGTTTCGGGCGCCCTCTGCTGGTGACCATTTGAAGAACAGCTGCCATGTGAGTGAAAAGGAAATGGAGTTTAGTTATGGTGAAGAAAAGATGAAAAACGCAACGCAAACGCAACGCAAACGCAACGCAACGCAACGCAAACGACGGCGGAGAGTTTTGGTTTTGGTTTGTTTGGTTTGTTTGGTTTTGGTTTGTTTGTTTGTTTGGTTTTTGTTTGTTTGGTTTTTGTTAGTTTTTGAGACCCACACAGACACACACAAACACACACTTTGGTCTTACCTTGTGGGAGTCGAACCCACGATGTCTTGATTGCTGACACGTCGTCGTTGCCTCTTGACTATCTTCAGCGCTGGAGACACGAGGCAGAGATCCTGAGAATCTCAGGAGAGTTTTGACAAAGATGTTCTGATGGAGAACACCCTCCATCTCCATCACCCCTGAAGGTCCAGGACGGCCTCAGTCCATCTGGACTTTGTTGAAGGTTCTGTAGGAGAATCCACCTGAGCTCCAGTGTCTGGACCACACACTGACCTTCACCAGCCACTGAACACACACACCTGCCACCCGACCCTGTGTGTGGTCGAGTGTGTAAGACAACATCAACCCTGAACACAGGGTTGATGGTTCAAGTCCTTCGTCAAACTCTGCTTTGGCCAGAAAGTTTTTTTTTCAGAAACATCCAGTTCAAATCTTCAATAGTTATAAATTGTTCAACAAGAAATCGTGTTTGCTAAACTGCGCTGTTTCTAAGCTTTATATCAGAACATTTAAATGAGACTGCAATACAGCAGTGTGTCCACTAGAGGCCAGTGACACTGCAGCAAACAGACAGCTTCCCAAAGTAAAGGGAAAGATATTAGATTTTCTCCACGGACTTTGGTCTGAACTCTAAAACACTGACTGTTTCTAGATGTGAATTTTAAATCTGTAAAAGTCCATCGAGACCAAAAACCAAAAACCAAAGTGACGACTCGTGGTTTCACAGCCGGGTTTTGAAGCACTTCAGATCAAAGCTCCACTGATCCAGACTCTGTAAAACCCGTCACATAAATATTTGGAGGTTTAAAAACACGGAGCACTTACAGTAGTTAACGACGCTGTAAATCCTTCAGCACCGGGTCTGGATGAGACACGTGATGTCAGGATGATGTCACCGCGGTCAGGGGCAGGGAGCCCTCAGAGACATCAACTCTGCATTCTGATTGGTTCCTGTGTTTCTCCTGAGGTGACGCTAAAACGACCTAAAAGGCCAAACGAGCTCGTCGTCACTGCGGTTGTCAGAGACACTGAAATAATAGCTGACATTTCCCTTTAAAACTTTTCTGGCCTTATGGGGGTCAGGGGTCAGGGGTCACGTCCATGGCTGCGTTCAGGGTCATGGGAAGGAGCAGACGCTGCTTAATGCACTTAATTAATCATGTCAATATTTGTGAGACACAAGACTAAAAATGTAACGTCTGTGGAAGAAAAAACAACAGATGAAGATGAAGAAGAAAAAAAGAAAAGGAAACGAACAGAAAGAAGAAACAGGAGGAGGAGGAAGAGGAGGAGGAGGAAGAGGAGGAGTAACAGTGCAGAGGTGGAGACAGGACAGATGGATGTGGCAGACTTGGTCCACCTGCAGTACTGCAGTGATCCACTAGGTGGCTGCAGACCAGTGTTGGGGAATTATCCTTAAACCGTTTCTTGTTTAATAAATTCCAATGAAAATAGTTTTCATTCTTTGTTATTGAACTGACTGATGGTCTGACCTTTGACCTGTTTATAAATGTCCACAGCTGCTGAACAACATTTATCAGGACTATTTACAGCAGGGAATGTGTGTGTGTTTTTAATAGGCAGTGGAAACGATGGCGAACTTGAATCCAGTCATGTGATCCAGACCCAGGTGCTTCTGTCATCTGTCAGTGACAACAGGAAGTGATGTCAGTGCAGGTGCCGCCGCCCTGGTTTGTTAGTTTGTGCGAATGACATCGTGTTCATGGTTGAAAACAAACCGACAACTGCAGCGGTCGGTCCACGGACGGTCCACGGGTCAGGACTTGAACTGGGGAGGTGGACCCAGTGGGTTCTGTGAGCAGACCGGCCTCTGTGATTGGCTGCAGCTCTGACATCAGTGCATTCATCTGAAAATAGAAGTTGACCTTGAGTTTCTGAAAGTGAAGACCTGCGTCTGTGGAGAGCAGTGTCAGGTCTGGGCAGCTCACTGACCCACTGCACCACAGCAGGTGTCCTTGGAACTGGAACTGTTTTCAGAGAAAAAAGGAGAAAAAAGTTTTTTGAACCAAAATGAAAACATATTAAAACATAATAATGAGAAAATTAAAAAAAATTAAAAAGTCCCAAAAACTCTCTCTGTCTTTCTGTCTCTCTGTCTGTCTCTCTGTCTGTCTCTCTCTCTGTCTGTCCCTCTGTCTGTCACTCTGTCTGTCCCTCTGTCTGTCTCTCTGTCTGTCTCTCTGTCCCTCTCTCTGTCTCTCTCTGTCTGTCTCTCTCTTCCTCCATATAAGGACACGGATCTTCTGTCAGCGCCACTTCCTCTACACCCACCGAGGGGCGGGGCTGCGGAGTCTGCCGCCGAACACTGACGGAGAATGACGGAAGTTTCCGGACGGGGGCGGACACCGCCGGAGACACCCGACTTCTGCCGAAGCTTCCGCCGAGCCTCCACCTGCTGCTGCTGCTGCTGCTGCTGCTGCGGTCCGGGGCAGAACTGAGGCGGGGACAGAGACGGAGACAGTGGGGACTTTTTAAATCATTGTTTAAGCGTCTGTGAAGTTAATGAGCAGGTTTTAAAGACACGGAGCAGAAGAAGAACAAGAGGTGAGACAGCAAGAAGACACTGAGGAGACAGAAAGGACAGTGAAGACAAAGAAACTCCAAGAAGACAGGACTTACTGAAGGAGGCACGGAGAGACAAAGAAGAGGCGACATTTGTGACAACACAGAGACAGTAAGACAAGAGACTCAGAGAAGAGGAC